ACAAGTGACACCTTAATCAATGGCTGCTGCCAAAATATCTCTTCCCTTTCAATGCAGATGTTCAACATTTTAAAATAAAGGAGAGAACTCCCGAGGACAGGTTGTCCTGGGTTTATAGGCTGCCCCCCTCCCCGTGTCATCACCGAGATACCAAGACGGGATACCTTCAGCACTCCGTAGAATAACCACGGCTGAGATGGCAACCAACGCTCCGCAGCGCTGTCCCAGCCCAGCAGCGAAAACACCCCGACGCAGGTACTGGTGTCACCAGAGCAGCCGTGGAGGAGCCCGACAGGCTCCAGTCTGTCCGACAGGAGAGGTGAGCGTTTCTTCTGCAAAGGGCCATGCGAAACTACGCTTGCTTCTTGTTTATTAACAAGCAATTAGCACAAGCAGAATGCCTGAGCATCAGGACTGCGGTGGTTAGCCAGAGCTAACTCCCAGCGCTTGTGCAAGACGTCGTCCCATCGCGGGCTGAGGGAAATTCAGGCTGCTCTATGCCTTCCCGCAGAGGAGTCCTACCGAAGCTCCCCTCCAGCACACTCATCCTCAGCAAGCAGATGTTTTCCATCTAGAAACGTTTATGAAGGCTGCAGCCTCGTCAGGAAACACTCCGTTCCTCTCACAAACCCCTCTTCAGTAATCTGCCTGAAATGTGGAGGGCGCCTTTCATGCAAGATCATCTTCTAATTATCCATCCTCCAGTCCAAAGCATGCCTGAACCCAAGGACAAGGAGCAGAACCAATTGCTTAATGAGCTTCTGAATACATTACCTCCAAAGCAGCTGGGCAGGACGCACGGGAGAAGGCAGACGGCTCTGGAAACACGGGATCCACGCAAAGGCAGGGTAGTTCTCTCCTAACCCACGTGGGAGCGAGAGCGGGCCTCGGCCCGGGGGACACCCCCTTTGGACGGAGGGACGCAGTGCCAGGACCGATCCAGGTTCGGAGCTCCGACAGTGCTCAGCTACACCCGGTCGCTGCCGGCGGCCCCTTCTCTCCACCATCGCATTCGCACGCAGGCGGCTTTGCTCGTGTACCGGGGCGAGCGACAGCGTGCGCGGGGGGCATCTGCTGTGACGGGGCCAGCTCAGGGACAGATTTATTGGGGCATTTTCACTAAATTTGCATAACCCGCCAAGCTCTGCGTGGGAGCTCCCCCATCCCGTACTAGCGACGCCGAGTCAGGGAGCGCAGCGCAGCGCCAGCCAGCAGCAGGGGGGCTGCTGCTCTGGAATCTCAGCCCGTGAGTCAAGGCGGGAGAATGCAATAGTCACACACTGTGTCACAGTTTTATAACTGATGATAGCCTGTGGCCAAATTAGAAAAGAAATCAAGAGGTTCTTAAGAGGAGGGTCCGAGCTGACGAGGCTGCGCTGTGATTGCACAATTCGATGCATCCAGAGTAAAAGGAAAATGTCACCATCCAGAAATAGCCAAAGCAAGAAGATCCCCGATGGAGAAACACGCTCACCGCGGTGGGCGCAGCCTCAGCCATGCAGTAAGCGTGGGTGTGCTATCTGCCTGTCCCCAGTGACCACACTCACCGAAGGGCCTACCAAAAAGCACAACACAACAATGGAAGCTGGAAATGAGGAAAATTCCAAGGCCGTGAGCAGCATCCCTGGTCACAGTCTTCGTCCCACGGCGCTGAGGGCTGGGGCGCGCAGAGCACACCGCGCTGCGGGGGAGCGGGGAGGGGAGGAGGGGGCCGGGAGATCAGAGGCGAGCGGGGAACTGGAGCTGCCGTTCCCCTCTGTCGCCATTTCTCAAAGGGGGGAGAATTCAGACCACAGAAGACGGCACCCAGGAGCCCACCGTGACTGCTACCGACCACGTCACCTCATGTTTAGATTTTTGACCTGCGAGCACAAGATCGGACAGCTC